CCCCAAAACCCCAAAACCCCAAAACCCCACTAGCTTGATTTAATTGAAAAAGTAATCCATAAAATAATTGTAATATATTTAAATATAGAGTACTAAGTAAAATTCGTACAAATGTCAGATCATTCACCAAGAGAGAGAGAAAGAGAACAGAGAAGCGGTAGTCGTGACAGAAGAGGCGATGGCCGAGGACAATCAAACTCAAGCGAGAGACGAGGTAGAAGTCGCAGCAGAGAGGATAGAAGAAATAAGGACCCTGAGACATTCACTCAGATCTACGTGGCAAAACTCAGTAGAAGAACAAGAGATGACGATCTCAAGGATGCCTTTTCTAAATTCGGAAAAATCAACCAAGTGGTCCTTAAAAACGCCTTCGCCTTTATCGACTATGACACACATGAAGGAGCAGTTCTTGCAGTCAAAGAAATGAACGGAAAGACTTTCGTCAACGGAGAAGAGCTCGTAGTTGAATAATCAGGTAGAGAAAATATGAATTTTTGATTGAAATGGAATCTGAAACATGAATGTAGTGCCAGGAGGGAAGAGAAGAAAGACAGGGCCATAGAACAATGATGTGTGCTATAATTGTCAAAGAAGCGGTCATTGGTAAGTTCATACCAGTCAAAGAGCAGCTCGTAATAACTCATATATTTTATGGCGGTAAGTGACAATTTACTTTATTAATTTTGATGTATAGAGTTTTCCGAGAAAATGAGTCATGTCAAATTATGAGCGAGTTAGCACTTGATTTGGAAATATATCAATGATTTTAACATTAATACTTTATCTCTTATTAGGGCGAATGAGTGCAGATACAGGAGAAAAAGTAGAGATAGAAGAAGATCTAGATCTAGATCTGATAGACGCTACAGAAGAAATTCGTAATTTAATTTTGATTCATGGATATAGTCGATCAAGATCACCCAGAGGAGGCAGAAGAGGCGGCTTCAGAGAAAGAAGTTCATCTTTTAGAGGTGGTAGAGGTGATAGTAGATCTAGAGACCTCAAGGAAGGAAGATGCTTTGGATGTGGAAAAAGAGGCCATATGAAGAGACATTGTCCTGAGCTTGGTGGAGGTAGATCAAGATCCAGATCAAGAGGTGGCGGAAACAGATTCAGAGACACCAAAAGAAATGGTGGAGGCAGGCATCACAGCAGAAGTGGTTCTTCATCAAGATCAAGAGGAGCCAGAGACAACAAAAGAAGAAGTCATGCTAGATCAAGCAGCAGAGGTAGCGCAAGAAGATCTCCAAGTAGAGGAGCAAGAGGAAGCTACAGCCGCAACCCTGAGAGAGGAGGAGAAAATCCAAGAAGCTATCATAATGGAAATGATGCCTCAATGCATGGATCTAAACTCAGCAACTGAGAGTGTTCATTGAAGAGTTCTAACATGAAAGCTCGAGAACCTCTTTCAAGTCAGGGAGAGAATTAATTTTAACATTGAAGATGATTGATTGAGATTTATGGAAACTTTAATAAGAAGATTGACTAAGATTATGAAAATATGAAATTATGAGGATGGAGTATTTGAAATACTTGTCGATCTGAAAAAAATGAAAGATCAAATTAAATGAGATGTGGATAGATGGATATATAGCATCTTAATCCACTCTCTAATTCAGGTGAGTTAATTCTATGATCTCTATTTATATATCTTAAAATCAACCACAAATCCTAAGCAATGGGGTTTTGGGGTTTTGGGGTTTTGGGGTTTTGGGG